ATAATAATTATATTATTACTATATTATTATTATTTACCATTATTTATCATCATTCAGTTTTAAGTTATCTTTCAGTTTATCCAAAGCTTTTTTATATTTCTCTTTTTATTTACTGTAGCTGCTGCATCAGTGCATTGATCATTTTTATAAATGATAAAGTCAGCCATCATCACCTGTGTTAGTAAAATATTATCAGTCTGTTGTGATTGGTTTAGATCTGAACGCAGAAAGACAGAAACTAAACATTGAGTTTATAATTATTAAATATAAATATTATAACTGCACTGAGTCAGTATTAACATGTCCAAACTGTTTTATTACAAACAGTTTATGTGTAAACACGTGATCTACAGACACACTAATTATTCTATTAATATCTCACCTGTAATTATTTATTACATTATCAGCTGTAATCATTAACTTTACATTTGATTTATTTTCTCATCATTAAACCAAGTGTCAGTCTGTCATTTTAATAAACTAAGGTTCATGTTTATATAATTGAAAAGGTTAATCCAGACCCTGACTTGTTGTATTAATATGACCTGTTCTTCAGTTTGTTTACGTTATTACTGTCAGAGTTTACGTCCAATCACAGGGTCTCAGTGACTTTATCTTTATTTTATTTATGGTTATTTGGATGAAGTTATTTTAGTGTCTCTAAAGCCTGCAGCTCTTTAATTCTGACCTGAAGCTTTGAGTGCTTCTCATCTAGCAGGTCATTGGTCTCTGTAAGCCCCGCCCCTTTGCTGGCCAGGTGTAGCTGTAATGTGTACATTGTTGTCCAGGTGATGGAGCAGAAGCCCCTCCCTCTCACAGGTGGGGAGGAGGTGGAGTACCTGCTGGCACTGAAGCAGGACCTCAGAGCAGCCATGAAGAGTCTGCCGTGTTTCATCCAGCCGGTCCAGGTGCACAAAGGTCCGACAGGTTCTGTTGATCATTGACCAGAACACACTGCTGTCTTATTGTGAAAGTCTCTCTGCACTTCCTGTCAGACGTGGAGCGCTACTCCGATAAATATCACCTGAACGAGCACAGCAAGAGCCTGAAAGACTGGACCCTGGGTGAGCCCACCTACCTCAGCCTGTTACCATGGTGACCCCAGGTCACCGTGGTAACCAGGTGCTGACACCTGTGTTTGTTGTTTCAGACTGGAAGAGGTTTCCCAAAGAGCTGCGACTTCATGTCAGGAGACCACACAGCAAGGGTCAGTAATCTGATTACCTTAGTCCTCAGTAATCTGATTACCTTAGTCCTCAGTAATCTGATTACTTCAGTCCTCAGTAATCTGATTACTTCAGTCCTCAGTAATCTGATTACTTTAGTCCTCAGTAATCTGATTACTTCAGTCCTCAGTAATCTGATTACTTCAGTCCTCAGTAATCTGATTACTTCAGTCCTCAGTAATCTGATTACTTCAGTCC